GCTTTAGAAACACAACATTGTGTATCGATCTGCACTCCCCTGCACTCATCTTTGACTACAGACACTCCTGTTCCTGGGGAAACAAGGCTCTTGGGGTCCAATCAATCAATTCCCTTCAGATTAAAGAATGGTAAGAGAAAGAAATGCTCTAAAAATTACTTGTATATAGGAAACCGAACATTATTAAGTGAACTGATGCAACATGGGCAGCCTCAGACTAGCAAGATACAAGCACAGGAGATGGAAAGGCTGTGAGACACCAGAAAGAAAATAACCTCCAATGATTCAGAGACACAGGTATAGAAGAAGGAAAGCTCAGTTGAGACAAGTGCTGTCATACAAAGTACTACACTGTACTGTGGATGGCAGGACTGAGAACCTGCTATTATTCCTGCCATACTCATGCAGGCTTATCTATTCTGAAAAACAGCTCTTACTGATGCTTATACTGTAAACCTATAGCACATTTCAATTAAGGAAATTCAGTGACTATGCAGAGAAACTCGGCATCACACACAGGTCAACATGGGCCTTTTGCAAGGAGGTTTGAAATGGCACCACTGCGGGCATGTAGAAATGTCAGTATGAGAACTGTGAAGTCCCCGAAAGCCCTAATTACCTCCTGTTTCCCCTTCACACAGAGTGAAGCTCTAAGCAGGGTCAGTCTGCTCTTCTCTAAACCTCCTATTCAATGTTGTCTTGGGCTGGTGCAGTTTATTTGGTGCTGGAACACATTTCCTTCTTTAAAAGACAAGAACATTTCTCAACAGTTCATGTGCAGAGTGAGTAAGGTCACTTCATTCCCTGATACTGTCCCCATCCTCATTGTAGGTAATACACAAGCTGTATCTAATTGTCCTAAAAGCATCAGATTGGCACCGTGCAACACACAACTTTGTGCATGATAAAGCAGAACCTTCGTTTGCTCACTACTGTCCTTGCATTTTTATTTAATTTCCACTAGCAGAGAGGTCCACTTTCCAAATTGGTAACAACTGAACAGGTCTAACTGAACATGTGCCCCTCTCCAAGGGCACCAACACCTCCCTGCATATGTACACACAGGTCCACACATGCATGTCATACATATGCACACACTGGTCCATGTTCATAACCAAGTTATTACCAAATCCTAATTGTCATCAATTCCGGAGGGATTTGCAGCCAGAAAGATCAAAAGGTAGAACTCATTAATTTGAAGATTAATAAAAAACCTGTAGGTAATTTAAATTATTAACTATACTTCTACTAATCTTTCATAAATTGTTCTGAAAATAAGATAATCCTCTGACGCTGGCCTACAAAAAGGGCCTGTCACATTATTTAAAGAAGATTACTATCCAAACATGATGAAGAATGCAGGTAGGGAGTCTGCTTCCTTCCTTAAGTCCATTGGGTAAATCATGTTTAGCAAACAAAATTTTAGTTTGCCATGTCACTGACATTAAAATTCTTATCAGGTTACGCTATTTATTTAGCACATTTTCTTCACTGCTAGGTGGAGGTGTTTAAACCACAGACTATAGGGTAGATTCTGTTCTGGATGGATTTGCACAAATTCCACTGAGGTGACAGGTTTCACTCTTTTCCTAAGAATACACAGAACTGCATTTATACAAAGCATGTATTTTTTGCCAAATTGCTGTGTTTTGTATTCCAGAAATAAAAACTTTCAAAAATATAAGTCCAGTGTCTAAATGCGCTCTCTCATTAAACAATTAAATCATGTCCTTTCTTTTCCCTTCCCTTTGCGTAGTTTTTTCATTCTTTATTGAATTCCTTTCAACATCACAAATGAAAACCTGTCTCACCTGCTTCCTATGCTTACTCCATAATAAACAGCCTATAGCCAGGTCAGAGAGAGGTTGCAGGTACAGATGGGAACAGACCTTGCTATTCTGCTTCATGGATGAAGGAGATCCAGTCTTGCTTTTCTATATCCTCTGCTCAGCTACTAGACAAAAACAGCAGGACACCACCTCCCTCCTTCCAGCCATGTTTAAAAGAGTCCATTTCTCTTTGAGCATAGAAGCCAACCTTCAGCTGATCATCAGGCACTGTAAAACCCAAGCTGAAGACAACCAGCCTCTAATTCTTGGTCCTGGACCCTGGTCATCGACTAGGATCACAAAAGGCTTATGTTTGTTACTTACACTGGTAGCAATTCCTGAGTGTTGGGCAGCGGGTGTTTCCTAGCATAGCTTGACTAATAAGTGCAAGTGCAACCCTGGGTGGGATGCCAAGTTCACATCTCAGTAATACAGACTGAAATCCACCGTGCTGCAGAGAGAAAGGAGTCCCTTCAGACTCATACCCAGAGCACAAGTACAAAAGTAGGATGGCAGATTTCAAACGCGGCGTCCCCTACCCTCAGGCAGCAGTATCCTGAAGCTCCATTTGGACTTGTGCAACGCAGCCCTGCAACACACTGTGCTGCTGACATCATGTCATGAAACCAGACAGAATTAAAGGATTTCTTTATACATTCCTCCTGCTTGCAGCCACGGGAGTTGGCTAGGGCTGGTGCATGTCCCACTACAGCACAACAGGCTGAGAAAGATTTATACACATCTTCCTGCATAAATGACTACAGAGACAGTGAGGGGAAATAATTGCCTAGATCTCACTCCATTATTTCTGACAGGAAAGAGCCTGTGCTCCTTATTGTACTGATAACGAGTTCTATCTAATTTCAAAACTGTATTATGTGAGTTGCTGCAAGTATTACACAGTTTATTAATATATATGGAAATACAGATTTGGATTATTCCTTTGGGAAGTTTCAATTTGAACTTGGCCAGGTTCAACTGCTTCTCTGACAAAGAATTATGTACAGTGTTCAAATAACCATTAAAAATGCAAGACATTTGTCTACAAAGAGAGACATGAATTATATAATAACAAAATTAATCATAAGATCACTCACATTACACACTTGCAGAAAAGTTGACTTTGTGCTGAAAGCGCACTTTGGCATTTGCCTAGGTCTAGTGACTGATGCTGCAGTGGATCGAAAAAAGGGCAGTGTGGTGAGGTTGGCTCCAGACACCCTTAGGAAGAGAGTTTTGAAGCAGCTCTCCTTTCAAAAACATGTTACAGGGTTTCTCCAGAGCCTGCCTAACAAGCATGATGTAGACTACTGAGTGTTGCCAGATTACACACTCCCTCCTTGGGTGCACTGGAAGGTCAGAGAGCTTCCCATCCCTTTCCATCCCTCTCCCACTTCCACACAGGACAGGAACTGAATCACAAAACAAATACCAAAATGGCTGGACCTGCCTTAAATCAGTAATAGCGGATTTCAAATTTCGTTTCCAAAGTACAAACAAGAGCTCTGACTGAGGGATCTGATGAGTCCTGTTACACCTCCAATACAGGTTTTACCTGTCAGATGAGATTTCTGAGGTTAGAACTGGGCTAGCATAAAACCATACTGATGTTGCTGTTCCTACCTGTGGTATCAACCCGCCTGCACATAACCTGTAATCATCGCAGTCCTGGACACGCTCAGCGTATTGTGCTCTGCCTGCTCTATTCTGTCAAATAGACACTGGAGCACTGACCAAACTACAGCAGAGAAGAACTTAAATGTTTACATGTTTGAAGAACTACAGAGGGGAAAGTCTTTTACATTATTAATTTTATTACAGCTCACAAGAGGGGAAGTTATAGAGGAATGCTAAGCATAAAAAATTAACACAGAAAATACTCTAAACACACACAGAACAGGTGAGGTCATTTCCACCTTGCTTTGCCATGAATCATACCATTCCTACTGACTAGGAATATATTTTCAAGTTGTTAAGTTATAAAACTAAGAAAAATAAAGTCTCATCACATTGCTGAAAAATACATGGCAAAGAAAAAGTATCCAGAGACTGCCCTGCCTCAATTGGTGTGGTCTTTTTAATTTGCATTGTTTCTATTTAGCATTGGAAATAACAGTTTTAATTTGCTGTGAAGTTTCATTACTTAGTCCAGGCAGAAATTAAATTAATTCCTGGAAAACAAATTAATAGTTGTGTGAAAACTTTTGTTTTACTTGGTGTTATTGCTTTAACTACAAACAATGTGGAATATTAAATCCCTCAGTGCAGTTGTAAGGAGTAGGAGAATTCTTGGGAATATCTAAGTCCCATAAAGTCAGAATACCCTAGAGCTACATTTTCTTCTCAGCCATCTAGCTACCCTTGTTCTTGGTATTCATCCAGAAATTCTCTTATCAGTTCAGACTTACAATGGATTAGTTTCATGCCTCCGGCACCAAGAACCACTGGGTAGTTCTCTTCATCTTTGTATAGTTTCTATTTTTCTTCCTGTGCTCCTTTACATGAGATTTTCCAACTTTTTATCCACAAGTTCAAAAGGGGAACTAGGTCTGAAACTTGATCTTCTAAGCATGAGGAAGGGGAACATACTCTGCTGGTGACGCAGCATCTTTGAAGGTGTTTTGCCATTTCTTTGCTGTGATACACTGCAGTCTGTGACCACGGCACGGCACCTTCCTTCTCTGAGTGTTGAAATTCCAGACAACCAAGAGAAGCCATTTCACCAGCAGCTGCTCACTCCTCATGTGCTTGAGGAAGACTTAGACATAAGTACCTGTTTGTTAGCTGTCAGAAACTGAGCTGGGAGTCTCTGCAGG